TATATATATATATATATATATATATATATATATATATATATATATATACTGTATATTCGTTTTCTTAACGTTATACAACATTTAAAAAATATATATTTAGTTAATCTAAAGGCTTATGCAATCATCTAAAGGCTTATGTATAAAACCTTTCTCAAGACATCAATCATTTTTTTGTATTTATGTATATTAATTTAAAGTCATATGCATCAATGCATACATGCAAACATATATTTACATTCTCTCAAAAACAGTTTTTGAGAGAATGTAATAAAAAAATATATTTATTTAGTTATTTATTATTTATTCATATATGTATTTATTTATATTACTCTAAATACTTATGCATACATGCACATATATAGTTACATTTTCTCAAACAATTAGAAAACCTTTTAAAAATATTTAGCGTTAATATGATATTTATTTATTTCATTTTTGTCATTTTTATTTTTTTTCTGAGAACACAGAAATGTTTATTTTTGCCTACAGAGCGTGTAGTTACTGCATCCACCAGCAGGGGCTCACAGGGTCATGCTGACTAGACAGACCTTGACCCCAGACCTGTAATCTAGGCAAAGGCAAGCTTTGAAGAAGCTACTTGAAAGACGTTAAAACAAGATATTTTTGATATGTTTAAGTTTTTAGTCACTACGTACAGTAATTCTCATACATATGTGGTATTTCATAAGAATGAGTAGCTATGTTCACATTTTTGACTGCATTACCTTCCTGTAGCTCCAGTGCTGGTTGCCTTTCATGCCATGACAGTCATACAGGGTGATGGGGCTATTCTGACTAATAGCATCAAAGCAGAATTTTCTGGTGTGCAGGGGATCCCCAGGCCTGATGTCCTCTCTCCAACCAAACGTGAAAATCTAACCACCACAGGAAACAGCAATTCTCTTAATTTCAAGGAGATTATCACAGAATGAGCTTCATGTCATGCTATCATGTCTTCAAAGTATCAGTTAGTTTTTAGAGTGTTGCTTAAGAAATTACATGAGCATCTAATGCTGTTCACATTATTCACACAAATCAGTACTAAGCAATGCAGGATAGTGTACAGAATAGGAGCCTTATACCTGCTCATGTGCCCATGTTCGCTCCGCACCCTCTTTCAGACAAGTATCCAGACGCAGCTCGGTGCCCGTGGAGCCATGTTTAGAGTCGATGCACAAACCAGATGCTGCATTACGGATCTATTGACAGAGAAACAGATTTGCTGAATGCCACCCATCAATTGCACAAGGATTTAACAAGGTTAGCTTTAGCATTGTCATTGTATCTAACAGTTCAAGAACAAGGAATTGAAGATCAAAAAGTTTGTAAGACAAATCTGTACTGTAATACACACATAAGCACTGTTTCAAAACCTAGTGAGCTGCCTCACTGCCTGTAGTGTCTGCATAGGCAGCTGTGTTTGAAGGTAGCATCCTAACAGTCATGGAAATCATGGATTTGGACACAGCTAGGAACTCCACACATACAAATAGCGCTCCACACACAACATGTTTTAACTAATGTCAATACAGGCAACGTGAGAATAATACTTTAATACGCATAATACTAATACTTTTTTATTTTCAGTTGATAAATATTGTAAGTTTATTATGTAATTTATCAATACTGAATAAAGTATACATGGTTCAACAATAAGGAATGTTCTGCCCTGCCAAACTAAGCCCACCACCACCACAAAAAAAGTATTAATTTATATATATTTTTTAAAAAGTGCCAGAAATATTTATATTTTTCATATTATTATTATTATTATTATATAAATAAATAAATTACAATTATTATTTTTATTATACATAATTTAAGTCCACAGAATACTTTTGCTAAAAACATTATTGGTTATTAATTTCTATTCCAGTTATTCATGTTGACTAATTTTGGTCTTTATTGCAATTTCAACAAAACCTCAATATACTATACTATACTATACTGGAACAGATATTATATTAGCAACATTTCAATATTCTTTATCAACAAATGTTGCCTGAGATTTGACAGTTCTGTGAATATTAAAATGTCTAAAATGATGCATATTAATGAACTGAGAATGTCAAAAGCATGTGTAAATTCTTTCTATTACTAAATATTTACACAAGGTATGTGGTTTACACTATTTAGATGTGATAGAAAAGTACTTCCTGACAATAACAATCACCTCTACGGTGCTCTTGAATGTGGATTCAAGGTACAGTTAGCCAAAAGTTTCACTTCTTCCACAACTGTGCAGTGAGGTACAATACGACCCCTGGTCTTCAATCTTTTCAAGTGCTAAATTGGCCTATTTAAATAATGATTCATTCTAAATACACCTGTTCACAAAGACGTGCGCACTTTCCCCACTGCATGAACTCCAGAGAGTTCCACTGCCCCTTGTCCTTATATTGGTCTCTTTTTTTCATTTTTTGATTGGCTGTCCAGGTCGACTAATTTTCTTTAAGGCATTCAGGTGTACTGACTGTTGTCACAGTGCAGCTCAATAATGCATGAGCAGCTGGAGCCACTGCCTCCTGAGCAGACATATGAGTTTAAACCAAAGCTGAAAACCAATACAATCAGAGTGATTTCTACAGCAGATGGACACAATCTTTCTGAGATGGGTGAGGACAATGCATCACATCAGAATGAAATTTCCTAACCCTTGTGTTGGTCTTTATTTATTATTCAACACTTTACTGCTTATTATTTATGGGAAAGGAAATGGTGCACCCGATTTGATCTGTGATTTCTTTTCAAATGAGCTGGATTGGAGAATCGAGCGAGGACATGTCTGACAAATGGAACCAAATGAAAGTGAAAAGCAAGGTCACACCAAGCTCTGCCTTGCCAGCTTATTCTTAAATGCTTATTTTTGTCCCTGAGGTTATAAAAAGAAAACATGTTTAATTCATTTTCTTGTCTATTAGCAGCCTCTCGCTCTCTTTTGGACCTTCCTTGCGCCTGCCGTCGAGTGATGTTTTCAGGATGAATTATTTGACTTGTTCAACACGATAACAAAGACATGCATTAGAACATAATTTACTGCTGGATGCAAGCAATTTACTACCCACTTCTATGAAGTGCTATAAATGAACAGCTATAAATGTGTTCCAATATGTTTTAAGAAGCTCAAAGCCACTATTGTGGCTTTTCGAAAGCCTCTGTTCTCTTAATTTCTAAAGTTTTTCTAGAATTCAGCAGGAGGTTGTGCTGATTAGAAAGAAACAGCAAGAACATTCCTCTTGCATCATTGTAAGTGCTGCTAAAGTCAAATCATCAGCGCCTACTACCCTTTCATGGTTTAGCACTTTTTTTGTGGTGCACAAAAGAAGTAAATTTACTTCATTTTTTTATTTATAATATTTACACCACAAAATAAAGCATGAATATAAATTAAAACATAGGAGGCTACCCTAGAAGAGTGCATGTAATCACAAACCCTTTTGAGGTAAATGCAGCAGAATCAGACCAAATCTGCATGGGTCTCTCCTCTCTTCTTCCTCTCAAGCCACAGGAAACCTAACAAGTGCATTTACACTATAACAGCCTTTGGCAGCAATGGCTATGAGCATAAAAGTGGCTGAAAAGTCTGCTGATTGCATTATTCAAAGTATTTGGGTGTATTGAAGAGGCAAAGAAACAGCTGTGGGGGAGAGAGAGAGAGTATATATGCATGCAGGTGGGCGAGTGGCATATGGCTGACAGCCTGCTTACACATTTCGCTGCCCTGTCAGCTGGAGGTCAGGCTGACCGTGACCCCTGTCCTTTGCTGAAAATGCCTACAAGGACCCGTTTCATTCCTTAGCTACCCCTCTCTCGCTCTCTGTCATGGCCCATGGGGGTGGCTTCGAAAGTCTAATGAGGCTCTTTTATTGAACAATACATCAGGCGGGGTGACAGTTGGCCGCACGAGCAGACCAGCTTGAGAGCATGACGTATGAAGCTATCAGCCTGATGGTCAAATTACTATCATTTCGCCTCAGGACAGAAGATATTTACCATGCATAAATTTCCCTCGAGCAAGGTTCCCCAGCCGCACACACACAGCCTTTTCCTTTTTACTATATTTACGTCGTTAATGCAGAGCGAGCCAATAAGTGAAACAAACGGCATGTTGTCGGGTAATGGACTTTTTTGGGCCGCCTCCACTGAAACATTTTAAACCAAAAGGCAGTTTCCATTACTACCTCAGTGGCTACGTTTACATGCACAATTTTGGTTCAATCGAACTGAATTCATTCTGATTGATGAATCTGAATGTAGTGTTTACATGAACGCTAAATAAAGTGATCGGGTTGATGTGCGCGTTTATATGTCACAAGCTTCAAATCGGAATAGATTTTTTTGGACATGCGCACACTGCACAAATATAGAGTTGCTCACTGTTTGCACATAACCACTCTCCTACACGGTTTCTTTATTTGTTTTTAACAGCGGAATTAATATTGATCCATTTATGGATAAATATACATATAAACCACTGTGCCGTGTTGCTCATATTTATCACGCAGTAAAAATGCCCCTCCCCGCGCCCAAAACGGGTTGCCTCTGGATGAGAATCCAAAACAAGGACTGGTGGGAGCTTGTCCTGCTCCACTTCACAGTTGCAGAATGAAAGGAGAGTTTTATAATGACACGGATTTATACAACACTTTATTCAAAAGGTAGAGCCGTTCTTTCCGCACGTCATAACGCTATTTCTGTGTCATTGCACATGCGCAGTCGTATATATAGATAGATTTATACTAATTTTTATATTTATATATACACACGCTGTCAAGAGCAAAGTGCTACCTGTAATCTCTATACTATTTGTCTCTTATCATGTGTGCAGAATATAAATAAGATAATCTTAGGAACATTGTGAATCTAGAGCATTATAAACTAGCAAAATTGGGCCACTGCAGAGAAACACGCTATCCTTTCTCATTTGGAAGGATAGTGGAAGTTCTACTCACTCTTGCCAGGCTGGTCCCTGAAGGCACCTTGTAGGGGACGTACTTCCTGTAGATGTGGCCCACCCTCGAACAAGGTACATCATACATGCTGCCTCCGCACATCCACACCTGAAAAACCACATACACACACACATTTATACTACATCACAGTACATACAGAGTTGTCTCTATCCTGCATTCTCTCAGACAGTTGAAAAAGCTCAAAAAGCCTCATGCATCACATCCCTGTGAGCTCCTACACAGGCAGGCTGGGTAGGTCTCAGTGGGAATATGCGGAGACTAGCTAGAAATATTGCTATGCTTCCACATCATACCAGCAACAAGCAACGTCCTCGCTGTGGGCTCCAATTACGGATCGACTGGCATCCACTGAAGGAAAGAACCAGAGTGTTTCCAACTGCCTCACGCTTGTGTCTCTACTGTTCCTCTTTAAACCAAAAGAAAAAAGAGATAAAGAAAGAAAGCAGGGTGTTCAATATGCTTCCCTTCCCATCTCTCTCTTTCTGTTCTACTAAGGCCAAGGCTTTGATATGCCTGTCTGTATCGAGTATTGGCTCAGGCATGGTGGAGTGTGGACTTGGCCAGGGCTACTGACACACAGAGGGAGGTGAGAAGGCAGGGGGGAGGAGGGCTTCTAGTTGGACAAGTTGAGTCTGATGGTTTCTCTCTTCCGCGGTCACCCGCTGGGTTCAAGAGAGCTGTCTGCAGATATCAAACTGCACAGACCTATCTCTCCTGCCAGGCAGCGGGTTAGCGGTCAAGCTAACTTCACAGACCCCATCGTTATGGGGAGAGAATCGTTCGAGACATCAGTGCTACAATGCGAGCAAGAAAAAGCCCCTGCTGATCCCTCATTTGAGGATAAAAGAGGAAGTCATGTAACAAATGAAGTTTTAGGAATCATTTTCACACTTTTTTCCACAGCCTTTTTTATCATGAAGCATGAAGGGAGTCAGCCATGGCAGGACTTTAGATATTAAGATGATTTGAATTGCATTTAGAAAGCTGCCTACATCGAACAGATGGATGAAACTTGGACGGAGCGTGGCAGGCAACCAATCAATGGGATGATGCCAGGCCCAATCAGCCCCGGTTTTTATTTCAGTTTGTAGTTGCATGTTGGTTCCGGATGGAGACACTGTGTTACAGTACTAAAGTTTTCAAATGGACTGTTGTTTGCTATTTTACTACCATATTTCAAGGTCTAGTGTGAATGGTACAACTTTATAACAAACAGCAACAGGCACATACTGTGCATAAAAGGAAATAATAATAATAAAAAAAACTGTCAAACAGCCGGTTTAGCCTCTAAACTATTTTTGCGGTTGCCATAGTTACTAGAGAGGCGCAGCGGATAGTGTTCCAATAACAAAGTTCAGTGCCAGCACAAGTGAGAGTCTAATGAAAAAGAGTGGGGTGGCAGGTATGTCAGAACTGATAAATAGAACACTTCCTCACATCCATCGGCGCCAGTTTTGGCCCCGCTAATCAAAACCGAATCACTTCAGAGCCACAGCCAATCACTGGATCACACAATCTAATTCGTTTCAGCAGTCTAGCCTATCTAAACACAAAAACACACGTGTTTTGGCCACTGGTGTGCTTTTGGCTCTGAGGCTTCGCTTAGTAACACAGTAAAGCAAATAACCTCTGCCGTTCAATCTCATTTGGACTTTATTGTTGAAAAGAATGAGAAAAGATTGGCTAGACAGACAGAGAGCACTTCACATTAAGTGTGAGAAAAATAATCTGGTATAGTTATAGTTAGAGGTTTGCAATGGATCAGGAGCAATGCGCTCTTGGATGTGGTTTTGGAGGGTGTGTCTTGAAATCCATTTAAATGCCTAGATTGCACAAAGCACTGTATCTTGTGTGAGTCTTATTTTGTTCTGAAAGGCCAAGAACAGGTAGCAACCTTCATAAGGTCTGTAAGAATTGATATATTATTTGCGAATTGCATAGAGGAATCGACCCAGATGCTTTAACTCACCTTGAAAGATATTTCAAACTGCTCACCGCCCCAGATCTCAAGGCCTGTGTCATATCCTCCCAACTCCCAGAACCACTGTCGATTTACAGCAAACAAGCCTCCGGCCATCACAGGAGACCTGCGGGAAGCAGAAAGACCAACATGCTCAGCCATGTCTTAGACTTCATACTGCATTTTTTTGGACAAAGTCTTAATAGAACCTGAAGGATAGTGTGCAGGAAGGACCACAAATTAAGGTCAAATAACCCCTGGGAAAGTCTGTGAGCATCAGGAAGGATCCGTTACTTAATATAAATGTATTTAATAAAATTCTTATGATGAATCACTTGTGTTATATTATTTCTCACTTGCAAATGGCTTTGGGTTAAATCAATAAATCAATGAATGTAAATAAGAATAAAATCTATATTGATGAGTAGGTGGATACACTAGGGCTTGCATGACTACTATTATTAGCAAACTGGTACAGCAAAGTCGTCGATTAGTCAGCGGGTCAATGTTTATCATATGTATATGACTCATAGTAAGTCATGCAACTTCAAATACATATCCAACACTGCACCGACAGAGTCTGTGCCAGAATAATGCTGCCTTACATTGTCATGATTAGTGCAAAAAACTGCTCACATATTTAACTTGGTTATCGTTTCTGACAAACTCGTGGCAACATCTGTTTATTTGTCATTAACTGTCAATTAAAACTATAATTCAATTGCATTTGAACTGAATTTGAACTGAGATAGCGAATAGGTTGCAGAATTGAAATCTGAATGCAAAGGAGCAGAATTTAAATAAACAGTATTTAAAGTAATTCATCTACTTTTTTCCATCGACTTTTTTTTGTTTTTAAAATTAGCAATCCTTGAAAACAGTTTTAAAAACCTTGAATTTTGAAAGTTTATAGGCCTTGCAGAGATGACAGACAGATAGCTTTGCCGTCACAGAAACAAATGACATTTTAAAACAGACAAAAGTTATTTTAATAAATAGATAGATATAGACAGACAGACAGACAGACAGATAGATAGATAGATAGATAGATAGATAGATAGATAGATATAGATAAAATATAGATTCAGAACATGACAAAGTAAATTATGCACCATCATGATCACATCATGATTACAATGTCAGATGCCAGACGGTGGCAACATCTGTTTATTTGTCATTAACTGTCAATTAAAACTATAATTCAATTGCATTTGAACTGAATTTGAACTGAGATAGCGAATAGGTTGCAGAATTGAAATCTGAATGCAAAGGAGCAGAATTTAAATAAACAGTATTTAAAGTAATTCATCTACTTTTTTCCATCGACTTTTTTTTGTTTTTAAAATTAGCAATCCTTGAAAACAGTTTTAAAAACCTTGAATTTTGAAAGTTTATAGGCCTTGCAGAGATGACAGACAGATAGCTTTGCCGTCACAGAAACAAATGACATTTTAAAACAGACAAAAGTTATTTTAATAAATAGATAGATATAGACAGACAGACAGACAGACAGACAGATAGATAGATAGATATAGATAAAATATAGATTCAGAACATGACAAAGTAAATTATGCACCATCATGATCACATCATGATTACAATGTCAGTTGCCAGACGGTTTGTGTGTACTGTGACAGGATCCAGTGGGCATCCCTCCTGCACATCACACTGTACAGAAGCAGAGAATATAACACATGGAACCATCATAGCATGAATTAATAAGCTCATTTTACTTTCATGCATCTCCTCAAGCTTCTGTGTTTTGACAGGTGAATCCTAATCTACATCTGCAAACAGTCCCCGATGGTAGAATCAGACATAAGCTGCAAGCTGAATTTATTCTGCTCACAGTCCAGTCAAAATCACTTATGTGAAAAGTGAGATTTAGTGGCCAATTCAAGGCAGATCAAAGTGAGAGAGGCTTGCGGTAAAGCAGATGTCAACCAAACATGCTGATGAGTTGCTGTTATCCTCATTGTGCTATTTTCATTAATGCTTACTGTGCTTCCAAAACATCTATTCAGTCATTATATCACGTGCACTTACGGGGCTTAAGCCTGCCAATGGGGTTTGAGAGGGGATACTGATGGATTTAATGGATCTCTCCACTTGTTCAGTGGCGTTTGAATCCCGAGACTTGGCTAAAGCAGACATGAAGCGGTACAAAGTGTCTGTTGGTAGTGCAATCTTTTAATAGAGCATGTGGGATAAAATATGGTAATGCAAGGGCTGGAATGACAGCATGTTTTGGGATTATGGTTATGCATATACTGCACTTGCACACTGCACAGACGACAGAGAGCCCTGGTTTGAGAGAGGATTTGTGGTGGATTTATTTATTCAGCTGAAATGATCTATGGGCGGATATTTCATCCGTCATTGGTGGTAGTGGTGCGGGTGGCAGGCCTCATTTATTCATCATGAGTGGCCTTTACACAGTCAGTGAAATTGACAACTGTATTGGTATGGTAACACTTTAGAATAGGGAACAGTTATTCAACTATGACTTTTCCCTCAATAAATAAATTCCTAATTTGCTGCTTATTAATAGTTAGTAAGGTAGTTGTTAAGTTTATGTATTGAGTATGATTATAGGAATGTAGAATAAGGTCGTGTAGATTAATGCATTAATATTTGCTTGATTAGTACTAATAAATGGCTAATATTCTAGTAATATGCATGCTAATAAGCAACTAGTTAAGAGACCCTAAAAAAAATGTGTTACCCTGTATTTACTAAGAGGTGTAACTCTCGAATTGTCCTCTTCAAACTGTTTGAATAAACCAAAAAAGCAAAGTCAAGCCTAATATAGATAATACAGGAATAATGGGTATAATTTGAATCAATGTGCCCTGAGAAATCTAAAAACACTAGTCTCATGAATTTAGGCAAACGTATTACCAAAAATAAACCTACATACTGTTAAAAAGTTTGTGGTTGTAAGTTTTTGAAATAAGTCTCTTATGCTCAGTAAGGCTGCATTTATTTGATAAAAAAAATGGTACAGTAATATAATTTGATTACAATTTTAGTCAACTCTTTTCTATTTTAATATATTTTAAAATATTATTTATTTTTGTGATGGCAGAGCTGTATTTTCAGCAGCCATTACTCCAGTTTTCAATTTCACATGATCCTTCAGAAATAATTATAATACGCAAATTTTCTGTTCAAGAAACATTAATTATTTTTATCAGTGTGTCATGGTCGGTGGTAGTGTGAGGAGAGCTAACGAGGAGAACTAAACAAAGGGATTTACTCTTGTCACAAGGAATCACACGTAGCACGAGAAGACATCAACATACAATTCCAGACATGGGAGAACTGAACGGGCTAGAACTAAATAGGGTAGATAACGAGGGGCACACAGGTGATGGGGATAACTAACAACAAGGAACAGGTGATACTAATAATGTGAAAAGGAACTGGAAGGACCAAATAAGGAAGGGCGCCCTGGAGGCTGGTGCAGGACTGGAACTGGGCCAAGACAACGAGAGCCTCTAGGGCGGATCAGGAAGCCATGGCGGAGCAGGCAGTTTGGGTTGCCATGGCGGAGCCGGGGACTCGGGAGGCCATGGCGGATCAGGGGGCTCGGGAGGCCATGGCGGAGCCGGGGAATCGGGAGCCCTCCGTGGGCTTAACGGGGAAACGGAAGCCCTCCCTGGGCTTAACGGGGAAACAGGAGCCCTCCCTGGGCTTAACGGGGAAACAGGAGCCCTCCCTGGGCTTAACGGGGAAACAGGAGCCCTCCCTGGGCTTAACGGGGAAGCAGGAGCCCTCCCTGGGCTTAACGGGGAAGCAGGAGCTCTCCGTGGGCTACACTCGGGAACAGGAGCCCTTCCTGGGCTGAACTGGGGATCAGGGTAGTGGACGTGGTGCTGGCACTGGAGGGTGCTCTGGAGGAGCAGGCACAGCAAAGCGCTTTCGAGGAGCCGGCACCGGGAGGCACTCTGGAAGGCGCTTATGAGGAGCGGGCACTGGGGCTGGAACGACACTGGGCCCACATGAATGTATGGTGGGCTTGCCATATCGATGTCCGGCGGGCTTGCCATATTAACATCCGGCGGGCTTGCCTGAGGAACGGCCGGCTTACTTGACTCGGGAACGGCCAGCAGATAGTTCCCGGATCGTGATCGGAAGCTCTCCAGACACCGGATGACTCCCTCCTTCCAGCCGAGGTTGGTAGTGTCTGGGAGCTCCGCGGGACGATGGTAGGTTATCCCGATCCGGAACAGCGTCAGGAGGGTTTCTCCCTCGAGGGAGCTGGCGAGGGCGAGCGGCACGAACGCCCTCGTGTAGAGAATCCGGTCGGGGTTCGTCTGAGCCGCGGCGATTAACATCGCTCTTTCCTCCATTTGGACGGGGAGAAACGAACGGGAAAACAAAACAAAATCACTTTTCAAAAAACGAAAAACAAACACGGGTAGAAGGGGCGCCTTACTGTCACTTTTAGGTCTGGAATTCTGTCACGGTCAGTGGATGAGGTAGTGTGAGGAACGAGGAGACCAGGAGTACTAAACAAAGGGATTTATTCTTGTCACAGGGAATCACACGTAGCACGAGGAGAAGACATCAACATACAATTCCAGACAAGGGAGAACTGAACGGGCTAGAACTAAATAGGTTAGATAACGAGGGGCAGACAGGTGATGGGGATAACTAATAACAAGGAACAGGTGATACTAATAATGTGAAAAGGAACTGGAAGGACCAAATAAGGAAAACAGGAACTCAATGGGAACATACACGTGACACAATGTTGAAAGCTTAATATTTTTGTGGATACCATGAACATTTTTTTCAGGATTATATGATAAGAAAGTTCAAAACAACAGCATTTATTTGAAACAGAAATATTTTTGTAATATTTTGTGTGTCGTGGACAATGTCTCCACTGTCATTTTGATTAATTTAATTGCTGTATTACCTTCTTTAATTACTGACCCCAAACCTTTGAGTTGCTGTGCCAAAATTACTAGGGGACCCTTAATCCATCATAGAAATGACTTATACTGTTATGTTTCAATACACCAAACCATTGCAAAAAACAGCCTTAGTTTCTTATTGATATCTTCACTGTTCACTTCATGAAACCATTTCTATGGAATGGTCAGCATTTAACAAGGA